GTGTGGGGTGGGGGCGGAGGGGAGAAACAACTACAGAAAGAAGGAGTATATGGAATGAGGACATTTATTTATTTATTTATTTATTTTATTTTTTGAGATTTATATCCCGCCCCATCCCGTATTCAGCTCGGGGTGGCTTACAAAGTTAAAATGTCAATACAAAACAACAACATAATAAAAATATATCCAATATAAAATTTGGTGCTCAATTAATTTATATACAAATCAAGATGGACGACGTCCCACACTGGCGGCCAAGTTCTTCACTGCAAGAGCTGACATTGCTGAGCTTTCAAGATCTGATAGGATCGGGCTAGCCTGCACCACCCAGGTCATGGCCAGGGCCGACTCACCCACTAGGCGAACTAGGCATTCGCCTAGAGCGCCGGGCCCTGGATGGGGCGCCAAGCTGTGCCTCCCCCCCCCTTTGGTGGTGGCGGTGGCTGGGGGGGAGGAGGTGGTGGTGGCAGGAGCTCCAGGTCTCCAGGCCCCATCGGGAGGTTGGCATCTGTGCCATAAGGCAGCCTCGCCTAGGGCGCAGAAGCACCTCGAGCCGGCCCTGGTTATGGCAGAGACTAATGGAGGCAGTTTGCTACTGCCTACCTCTGTGTAGCAACCCTGGAATTCCTCCAAAGTTTCCCATCCAAGCGCCAACCAGGGCTGACCTCGCATAGCCTCTGAGATCTGACAAGATCCGACTAGCCTGGGCCGTCCGGGTCAGGGGAGTACACATTATTAGCCATAGACTTCCCACGATTGTATAATATTGCCAGCTCGCCAGTTGAAAACAAAGGCCCGCCCTGCCCTTGTGTTTTGATCCGTGGAGCGCACGAATGACTCAAGGTCAGATCACACGCAAGTGCCGCTTCAAGGCGTGTGTCTCAAAAGCAATGAATGGGTGTGTGTGTGGAAATCATACGTAGAAATTGAAACGTAAATCCTTGAATGTGATCCACGTGCACTCCCAAGCTTCCAGGTCTGCAGAGAGGCTAAGAAAACTGACTGACGTCACTCGACGGCCGTGGATGTTTCGGTATTTCAAAGGAGAAGAACAACGAGACGTCCGAGGTCATCCAGCCAGGTGCAAGTGGAGGAGTGGGGAATCAAACCCGGTTCTCCCAGATTAGAGTCCGCGCACTGAACCACCACACCACACTGGCTCTCTATTAGATCTGTGAACTGCCCAATCCCTACTATCATAGGGCTCTGGGCGAGGTACATAATATTAAAAACAATCACCAAATAAAACCATTGAACGTATTAAATTACATTAAAAATCAGATGGTGAGTAATAATCCTTAGACTTAAATCATTCCCCTATTACAGACTGCTGGCTGTTTCGCAGACGGGGGGGTAGAAGAAGAAGAAGAGATTGGATTCATACCCCGCCCTTCACTACCCAAAGGTGTCTCAGAGCGGCTTACAAACTCCTTTCCCTTCCCCTCCCCTCCCCACAGCAGACACCCTGAGAGGTCGGTGGGGCTGAGAAAGCTCTGACAGAAACGGCTCTTTTTTTCAAGAACAGCTCTGAGAGAACTACGGCTTGCCCAAGGTCATCCAGCAGCTGCAAGTGGAGGAGTGGGGAATCAAACCCGGCTCTCCCAGATTAGAGTCCGCGCACTTCACCACTGCACCAAACTGGCTCTATTGTATTGTATTGAAGCTATTGTACTTTGGTCACATCAGGAGAAGACAAGACTCAGTGGAAAAGACAATAATGCTAGGGAAAAGCGGAAGGCAGCCGGAAGTGTGGAAGACCCAACAGGAGATGGATGGACTCCATCAAGGAAGCCACAAGGGCCCTCCATTTGCAAGGCCTGAGCCAGGCTGTTCATGACAGGATGTTATGGAGGACACGAATTCACAGGGTCACCGTATGCCGGAAGCAACCTGACGGCACTTAACACCCACACATAAGGAGGACAAGGAAGATTTCTGATGAGACCAAAACAAAGCAATGTCTTTCTTGGGCTGTGCAGAAAATTAAGGCAAAGCAGGGGGTCTCTGTTTGGGGCCATGGTGACTCAGAGGTTAACACGCTGAGCTGCAGACCGGAAGGTCGGTAGCTCAGCAGTTCGAGACCCGAGTGCCGCGTGACGGAGTGAGCTCCCGTCTCCGGTCCCAGCTCCCGCCTACCTAGCAGTTCGAAAGCAAGAAACTGCAAGTAGATAAATAGGTAACTGCTTCGGTGGGAAGGTCACAGCGTTCCGTGCCCCTCGGCGTTTAGTCATGCCGGCCACATGACCGCGGAAACGTCTTTGGACAGCGCTGCCTCTTCGGCTTGGAAACGGAGATGAGCACCGCATCGCTAGAGTCGGATTCAACTGGCTTTCAGGCAAGGGAAACCTTTACCTTCACTAGTGGTAAACTGGCTTGGGTGAATTTTTCTTTTCGCTTGCACACTGCCTTAACTGGGATTGAATACTGTGCGAAGTTTTGGCAGAAGAAGAAGAAGAAAAGATTGGATTTATACCCTGCCCTTCACTTGGAGTTTCAGAGTGGCTTACAATCTCCTTTCCCTTCCCCTCCCCACAAGAGACACCCTGTGAGGTAGGTGGGGCTGAGAGAGCTCTGACACAAACGGCTCTTTTTCAAGGACAGCTGTGCCAGAGCTTGTGACTGACCCAAGGTCACATCAGCAGGTGCAAGTGGAGGAGTGGGGAATCAAACCCGGTTCTCCCAGATTAGAGTCCGCACACTTAACCACGACACCAAACTGGCAGTCGCTAGTGCACGGCAGCAGCTGTTAAGAGGAGGAGGAAGGGGGGGGGCGTTTAAGCCTGAGCCCCCTCGGTGTGTTTTGAAGGTTTTTGTTCTGCCAAGGTCCTCTCTTTGCTCTTCACAGTGTCCGCCCACTGCCTGTTACATCCCGGATTTCATCACCGAGGCAGAGGAAGCGTACCTTTTGCAACAGGTGTGTGCGTTTATTCTACCCTTTTTGTGATGGGTTAAGAATATTTTTGTGGGATGGATCTATGGCCCGTCAGGCCCCAATGTCCTGTCTCCAACAATGATCAGCCAGTTTTTAGGAAGGAAGGTCAAGAATGCAGATGGCCACGGTCGGTGACTCATGCCCCTTTCGTTATTGTTGGGTCCCCAGAGGTAGACTGCCTCATGACGTGGAAGCTCTACGGCTGTGGACAGATGCATCCCTCCTGAATTTTACTGACTCCTGAAAAAAAATTAAAATGTTTGTCTGCAAATGCTTGCATGACATACCCATCACGTCTGTGGGGTTTTCAAGGCAAGAGACATTCAAAGGTTTCCCACTGTCTGCCTCCCTGTCATCATCACCCTGGTATTCCTTGCAGGTCTCCTAGACTCCACGGCTTAGAGGGAAGATTGGTCATGACCCTGGTATTCCTTGGAGGTCTCCTAGCCAAATACTAGCCAAATACTAGCCAAATATTGGCAAATACTAGCCAAATACTAGCCAAATACTAGCCAAATACTAGCCAAATACTAGCCAAATACTAGCCAAATACTAGCCAAATACTAGCCAAATACTAGCCAAATACTAGCCAAATACTAGCCAAATACTAGCCAAATACTAGCCAAATACTAGCCAAATACTAGCCAAATACTAGCCAAATACTAGCCAAATACTAGCCAAATACTAGCCAAATACTAGCCAAATACTAGCCAAATAGTAGCCAGATACTAGCCAAATACTAGCCATGGCCGACCCTGCTTGGCTTCTGAGATCTAATGAGACTGGCCTGACCTAGACTACCCGTAGCTCAGTTCAAACAAACAGATTTCTATCCCAAGATTACGTATCTTAACTTCTTGTAAGATTTTGTGTCTTGTTCTCCCACTGTGGGCAAAGATACCAAAGTTCCTATTTTAGAGAGGGGGAAACCAAGACTGAGCGCATCTGTGTGGGGATTTGGAAGAGGGCTGGGCGCTGACAGGGTCCTCGCGGCACCCGCGACTCCGGTGGTTTTTATATTTTTTCCCACCTCCAGGTTTATGGAGCCCCCAAGCCAAAGTGGACTCAGCTTTCTGGCAGGAGGCTACAGAACTGGGGTAAACCTTTGACGTGTGTGTGTGTGTGTGTGTCTGTGTGTGAATCTGATGTCGAGTGCATGATGTGGATAGGTTTGTGGGGGGGTGGGACTTCATTAGTGTTTGTTGAAATCACAGTAGCGTGAGGAGCTGGTACAGTCCCACGAATTTGTGGCTCGATTCCTTTTAACGTCTGCTTATGGATCATTTCGCCCACACAGGAGTTTCCCCCAGGCTTCCCCAACGTGGCGCCCACCACTACTTCCTCTCCTACCGGCCAAGCATTTCAGAAAGCGGGCAGGGCCATTGTAAGCGGGTGGGGCCCTTGCTCAAACGAAAGCAATAACAGCCATTTTGCATCGGGCTCCATTTTAGGGGTGACACTCGCCATTACCCAACTTGAAATCCCAAAAGTACCCACAGGGTCAGAAAGGTTGGGGACCCCTGAGTTAGATACTCCATGTTTACAAAAACAGGCTCACACGATGCGCTGAAGGGAGGTGATACAACTCCGGAGTTTTGTCAGGAAGCTTGGAGCTTCCTGGAGGAAGAGGGCGGCCTTGCTGTGGGAAATGGCGCCGAGTTCTTTGTCACCAGGGGTCATTTTGTAGAAAAAGAGGAGCAGGAGCTCATTAGCATAACTCATTCGCACAACTCATTTGCATATGCCACACCCCCTGATATCACTGGAAGTGTGTCAGAAGGCAACACCCACCGCTCAGGCTCCACTGGACTTTTTTGGATTGCCAGCTATTGGGGGGGAGGGGGGAAACGTGCAGATCTGTCCTCGCAGAGGAGGGAGAGCTGGTACCTGAATAAAACTTGCTCTTAAAGGAGCCACTGGACTGTTTTGGGTTTGGGGGCTCTGCAGCTTACCTGGCTGCTTCTTGCTCTGACTGAGGGCTGCTGGGAGCAGGGGGTGGGGCTTGTTGCATGTGCCCGCCCCCCTGGGCTCTTTACTGCCGGAGCTCCGCTCCTGTGCGCTCCTGCAGGAAATGACCCCTGCCTATTGTAAGAGGAGATACACAAGAGGAGAAGGAGGACAGACACATTTTGTGGCTTCTTTCTGTGGTTTGCGCAGGGGGGCTGCCCCACCCGAAGGGGATGGTGCCGGAGAAACTGCCCACGTGGCTTCAGGCTTATACCGACAAAGTGTCCTCCCTTGGCGTCTTTGGAGGGAAGTCGGCGAATCACGTCCTGGTGAACGAGTACCGCCCTGGGGAGGGAATCATGGTAAGATGCCCTGGGGTTCGCGCCTTGAAATGGGGGTGGGTGAGTGAGTGGAGGGGGCAGTGTTCCCTCTAGGTTGCGTGAGTGTGAGCCAGCTCACAGTTTTTTAGCCTCCGGCTCACACATTTTTGTCTCAGCTCAGGAAGGGATGGCTCCAGAGCAGTGTTCCCTCTAAGCTGAGTTTGTGTGAACTAGCTCACAGCGTTTTCACTTCCAGCTCACACATTTTTGTCTCGGCTTAGGAAGGAGGGCTCCAGAGCAGTGTTCCCTCTAAGCTGAGTGAGTGTGAGCTAGCTCACAGTTTTTTAGCCTCCAGCTCACACATTTTTGTCTTAGCTCAGGAAGGAGGGCTCCAGTGCAAACGAATTGATGCAGCGGCCAAAATCGCTTGCTCACAACTTTAATGCCAGGAGCCCACAAAGTAGGATTTTTGTTCACAGGTCTCCACAGCTTAGAGAGAGCATTGCTCCAGACCAGTGTTCCCTCTAAGCACTTTATAACAGATGGCCGCCACATTCTAATTTTAATAAGTTGGGGTTTTTTTTTAAACAGATAATTTTTATTCTTTTCCATAAACAGCAATGATTTACAAGATAAGCATGAGCACAGCTTTCAATGGTTTCAGACATTTCATACAGTTTGTCGATATTATACAGTTTGAAAATTACCATAGATGAAGAGTGTTTATTACATCAGGTACTGTTTCTTTGGTAGATAAGCTCCAGAGCAAACTAATTTATGCAGCAGCCAAATGGCTCGCTCACAACTTGAGTGCCAGCAGCTCACAAAGTAGAATTTTTGCTCACAGGACTCCACAGCTTAGAGGGAGCATTGCTCCAGAGCAAACTAATTTATGCAGCAGCCAAATGGCTCGCTCACAACTTGAGTGCCAGCAGCTCACAAAGTAGAATTTTTGCTCACAGGACTCCACAGCTTAGAGGGAGCATTGCTCCAGAGCAAACTAATTTATGCAGCAGCCAAATGGCTCGCTCACAACTTGAGTGCCAGCAGCTCACAAAGTAGAATTTTTGCTCACAGGACTCCACAGCTTAGAGGGAGCATTGCTCCAGAGCAAACTAATTTATGCAGCAGCCAAATGGCTCGCTCACAACTTGAGTGCCAGCAGCTCACAAAGTAGAATTTTTGCTCACAGGACTCCACAGCTTAGAGGGAGCATTGGAGTGTTCCCTCTAAGCTGAGTGAGTGTGAGCCAGCTCACAGTTTTTTAGCCTCCAGCTCACACATTTTTGTCTTAGCTCAGGAAGGAGGGCTCCAGAGCAAACAAACGTATGCAGTAGCCAAATCACCTGCTCACAGCTTTAATGCCAGTAGCTCACAAAGTAGACTTTTTGCTCACAGGACTCCACAGCTTAGAGGGAGCAGCAAACTAATTTATGCAGCAGCCAAACTGCATGCTCACCAACTTGAATGCCAGCAGCTCACAAAGTAGAATTTTTGCTCACAAGACTCCACAGCTTAGAGGGAGCGTTGGTGGGGGGCTTTTGAGGTTCCCTTCGTTGCATCCGCCCTCATCGCACCTCGGGCAGAGACGGGCGGCTCCCTTGTCCTGACGGATGCCCACCAGGTCCGTTTCATCCGCAGCCTCACGAGGACGGCCCGCTGTACTTCCCCACGGTCACCACCATCAACTTAGGGTCTCACGTCCTTCTGGATTTCTACCATCCTGTCGGCAGAGGGCAGCAGACGGAAGGCGAACAGGTGAGGAGTGTCGGGGGAAGCATAGCCTCCTGCCAGCCTCTCTCGGCTCCTCGCCAGGCGAGCCGCCAACTCGCTCTGGCCAGAACCCCTGGGCCCTGAAGCTGGCAGAGCTCCGTGGGTGGCCTGGGCAGCGCCACCGAGGCAGAAACCCGGTTTCTTCCCTAGGGGTAGAGTACCAGAAGGTCCCGTTCACCTGCATTTTTTGCCCCCTCTGCTTTCTGGAAACATCTCGTTCCGCTTCTCCTTTTGTCGGTTTATCTCTTAAACTGAAACTCTCACCAAGAGAGCCAGGTTGGTGCAGTGGTTAAGAGCGGCGGACTCTAATCTGGGAGGAACCGGGTTTGATTCCCCACTCCTCCTCCACGTGCAGCTGCTGGGGTGACCTTGGGTCAGTCACAAGCTCTCTCAGAGCTGTTCTCTCAAGGGCAGTCCTCGAGAGAGAGCTCTCTCAGCCCCACCCACCTCGCAGGGTGTCTGTTGCGGGGAGGAGAAGGGAAAGGAGATTGTCAGCCGCTCTGAGACTCCCTCAGGTAGTGAACGGCAGGGTATAAATCCAGTCTCTTCTTCTCTTCTTCTTCTTCTCCCCATGCAGTTGCTGGTGTGGTCTTGGGTCAGTCACAAGTTCTTTCAGAGCTGTTCTCTCAGGAGCAGTCCTCGAGAGAGCTCTCTCAGCCCCACCCACCTCGCAGGGTGTCTGTTGCGGGGAGGGGAAGGGAAAGGAAATTGTGAGCCTCTCTGAGACTCCTTCGGGTATCCTGCTGGCGATTCTTCCTACATCCTGTTTTTGGAGGCCCCCTGGGGCTGAACGAACAAGGAAAATCCAAATCGTTCCAAGGGCTTTAGTCTACCATAAGCTTCAGTGGACAGATGCCCCAGTTCGATGTAGGAGAGCCAGTTTGGTGTAGTGGTTAAGAGCGCGGACTCTAATCTGGGAGAACCAGATGTGACTCCCCACTCCTCCACACATGCAGCTGCCGGTGTGGCCTTGGGTCAGTCACAGGTTCTCTAAGAGCTGTTCTCTCAAGGGCAGTTCTCAAGAGAGCTCTCTCAGCCCCACCCACCTCACAGGGTGTCTGTTGTGGGGAGGGGAAGGGAAAGGAGTTTGTAAGCCGCTCTGAGACTCCTTCGGGTAGTGAAGGGCCATGGGGTATAAATACAACTCCTCCTCCCCCTTTTTCTGGGTTTTTTTTTGAGGGGGTGGAGTGCCCTCACCCACGTCCTCGCTGTTGAGCTTTCCTTTATGATTCAGCATGCGTGAGGTAGAAAAAAAGAACACTTTCGCTGCATGCCCTCGGGGTGAACGCTGACTCTGCCCTGTTACTGTGTTGTGGGAATCACAGTCGCTCAGTGCCAGTGGGAACCAGAAACCACAGCTGTGTGGAAAACACACTGGCCAAGGGGCAGATGTGCGGAACGGACGTCGGCGGCGTGAGCCATGTGAGTCGCACCTCTGTAGGGTGTGGTTCCTGGTGGCAGCAGTCCAGGGGATCGGCTTTTCAGACAGCAACGCATCTGCCGGGCCAGGCCTAGAGATGTGAAGGCCTGGGGGGTGGGAAACGGGAAAATCCGGGGGGGGGGAATGGGTTTCCCCCCCATTTTTTTCCTGAAGCTTTTTTTGTTTGTTTTTTTCTGAAAATTGGAAAAATTGAAAAGAGAAAAGGGGGAAAAATGATTATGGAACGTTTTATTTTAACATGATGAATAACCTATTTTAAGACAAGGTGTTCAGATATTTTCCAAATCATTTCTAAAAACTACGTATGGTATCAGATTGATCTAATTCCTGCGCACTGAGGACAAGCAAGTCCTAGGTTACAAACTGAACTCTCCAATGCAAGAACAGGACGCATGTCTTCCTTTAGGAGGTGCTATTGTCACAAGAAAAGAATAAGGTTTCCGTTTTGTTGTTGCATGTAGGGTGGGTATTCTGTTTGTAATGATTGTCTGGATACACTATATTTTTAATAGGCTAGTTGTGATAATTTCATGCCAAGTAAAAGTGTCCATAGTCATATTTTATGTTCCTAAAGTAACAGAATGACGTTCAATCTGGAAAAGAAAAAAGAAGTGCTAATGTAGCATTTTTTTCAATTTTTCCGAAAATTTCCATTTCCCCCCCAAAAAAACCCGGAAAAAACCTGGGGTTTTTTCCGAGCTTCAACATTTCCAGAATTTTTACATCTCTAGCTAGGCCTTTTTAATCTTTGAAATGCAACCGCCTAGGAGTTTGTTTCCTTTTTACAGGGACCCGCTCCCCAGTCCGAGGAGGACCGTCACCTCCTCTCCTTGCTCCTGAAATCCCGCAGCCTTCTGGTCTTGCGGGAAGACATGTACCTACGTTACCTGCACGGGATCCGCTTCGTCACCGAGGACACCGTCACGGAGAAAGTGGCCAACTTGGATGCGTGCGGCTCCGAGCTCGGGGACACGTTGCGCCGGGGGACGCGGGTGTCGCTCACCATCCGCCACGTCCCCAAGGTGCTGAAAACGTCCATTGTCCTGGGCAGGAGGAAATGACTGTCCAGGAGGCCGCGGGAGAGGCTCACGTGACGGGGAGCTCCTCTGCGGGCAAGAATCGCCCGCAAGTAGAAAGCAAGCCTGTCAAGGTGAAGGTCCCGTCCCTAAAATGCTAATTTTCTATGTTCAGGGGATTTGGGGGGATGCGTGGACGGGGCCTCCACGGCGTGAGCCCCCTTGCCTGCTGCCTGAAATCACACCGCCCAGACAAAAGTTTGTCCCTTCGTCTGTGAGAAAGAAACGTAAGGGAGCGATTGTGAAATGCCAGTGCATGGGAGAGCCTGTCTGTATGAATTAATTATAAAGAACTTGTAAACTCAGGAGACGGGAATGGAAGGCCTTGGAGGCAAGGAGGCGGCCTGCCACGTCGCACCTTCCAGTCTCCGGTGTGGCCTAGCGGTCGGAGCAGGTGCTGTGGAGAACGAACGTCGGAGCTTGCCTTCCCAGCAAGGAGGAGAAGCGAGAAATCTGCATTCCAGGTTTCTCTCCCAAGGAAAGTAAAGGCTGGAAAACTTGGGGGCGGTCTTTCTATCAGGGGGAGGAGTCAGAGGTGTGGGAGGCAACCTCAGGAGACCATGGGTTTACTTCCTTGTTACGGGAATGTCTTCCGATGGGGAAACTGGAAGTGATTCGCGGGAACTTCTCCAAGGCCCGATGACCGGTTTCCACACCTGGCCGTTCCCCGTGCGGCTTCTGATTTGCAAAGCCTCATCTCTTTACGCCGTTTCTTCCCTCGGTCGTCCGTTCTGTTAGAAAAGGCTGGTTTTCAAGGCCGAACGTTGAGCCGGCAGGTGCGTTCTAACATCACAGGGAATCCCGCATCTGGTTCTTGCAGAACTCTTACATTTCCCATGTACGCCACGGCGTGCCAATGAGGTTTCCTAACAAGGGAACCTGTGTGAATGAGGGTTCTTCACCGTCCCGGTGGGTATGGACTGTTGAGAGTAGGGAGATGTGGATGACAGTGTTTAACAGGTAGGAATTACAGTGGGGGGGCTCTTGAATACGACTGCTGCAAAAGCAATTAGACTCTGGGAATTCTGACGCAGCAGGATGGGCTGTACCATTTCAGACCCAGTGCCAAAATAGACATGCTGATTTTTTTCTTAAGGATTGGGGTTCGCGTTCCCCACAGCCGTGCAGCATTCGAACTCGACCGGTGCACCGAGTATGACAAGCAGATGTGATGAAATAAAAGAAGTATTTATCTGGATTCGGGGAGCCGGCATGGTGCAGGGGTTAGACAGTTGGACCAGGGTGTGGGAGACTCGCGTTTGAATTCCCGTTTCTGCCATGGAAGCTTGCTGGGTGACCTTGGGCCAATCACACTCTCTCGGCCTGTCCTACCTTACAGGGCTGTCGCGAGGATTAGAAGGAGGAGAGGCGAATGTGTTAAACTGTTCTGAGCGATGTTCCCTCTAAGCTGCGGAGTCTCGTGAGCAAAAATTCTACTTTGTGAGCTGCTGGCATTCAAGTTGTGAGCGAGCGATTTGGCCGCTGCATAAAATCAGTCTGCTCCGGAGCCACCCTTCCTGAGCTAAGGCAAAAATGTGTGAGCCGGAGGCTAAAAAACTGTGAGCTAGCTCACACTAACTCAGCTTAGAGGGAACACTGCCGAGTCCCCATTGGGGGGGAGCAAGATGGGGTATAAATCACTTAAATAAATTTGAGTCCGAGAGTTGGAAGGGGGGGCTCAAAGGCCGTGTAGTCTGACCCTTTACTCAGTGTAAGAAACCCAGAGCTAGACTACATCCGGCCTCTGTTTGAGGGCCCTCCTAGGAAGCGGATCCTGGCGTCTGACCACTCCTCTTTCTGTTAGGAAGTTTCTCTCGATGTTCAGTGGAAATCTTGAACCCATTAGGTTCTAGGGAAGAGCGAGATCCCGGAAGCACCTTAAAGACTAACAAAATGTTCGTCTTTCAGGTGCTGCTGGACTCCTGGTCTTTTCTACAGAACAAAGTTTGAGCCCAGCGGTACCACTCGACTCCAGAATTGTCCTGCTGCTTCAGACCAACAGGGCTGCCCACCTAATTCTACTGCTTCAGACAGACTAACATGGCTACCCATCTTGATCTATCTCCCTTAGGTCTAGTCTTGCCCTCTGGAGCAGGCGAGGACACGGCCCTGCCCCCTTCGGTGGGACAACCCTTCAGGTATTTGAAGAGCGCTCTAACGTCGCACCTTCGGTTTCCTCCAAGTTGTCAGCTGGGCCCGCGTCCAGTCGCATCTTGGAGACCAGCCAGATACTCAGCATATAAGCGTCCAAGAGTCAAAGCTCTGTTCATCATAAGAAGATAAGAGAAGCCATGTTGGATCAGGCCAATGGCCCATCCAGTCCAACACTCTGTGTCACGCAGTGGCCAATAACACCAGGTGCCCCCAGGACGTCTACCAGTCAGTCCAGAACTCCAGAAGCCCTCCTGCTGTTGCCCCCCCATGCACCAAGAAGACAGAGCATCACTTGCCCCAGACATAAGAACATAAGAGAAGTCATGTTGGATCAGGCCAATGGCCAATCCAGTCCAACACTCTGTGTCACACAGTGGCCAAAACCCAGGGGCCATCAGGAGGTCCACCAGCGGGGCCAGAACTCCAGAAGTCCTCCCACTATTGCCCCCCCCAAACACCAAGAAGACAGCGTATCCCTGCCCCAGACATAAGAACATAAGAGAAGCCATGTTGGATCAGGCCAATGGCCCATCCAGTCCAACACTCTTGTGTCACACAGTGGCCAAAAATACCAGGGGCCATCAGGAGGTCCACCAGCGGGGCCAGAACTCCAGAAGTCCTCCCACTATTGCCCCCCCCAAACACCAAGAAGACAGCGTATCCCTGCCCCAGACTCCCTGCCCCAGACACAAGAACATAAGAGAAACCTTGTTGGATCAGGCCAATGGCCCATCCAGTTCAGCACTCCATGTCACACAGTGGCCAAAACCCAGGGGCCATCAGGAGGTCCACCAGCGGGGCCAGAAGTGAAGCCCTCCCACTCTTGCCCCTGAAGCACCAGGAAGACAGAGCATCACTGCCTCAAACATAAGAACATAAGAGAAGCCCTGTTGGATCAGGCCAGTGGCCCACCCAGTCCAACACTCTGTGTCACACGGTGGTCAAAACCCAGGTCCAGGGTGCATCAGATGCTGACGAAGGGATCTGTGACTCTTGCAAGCTTTTACACTGAAAATCTGGTTGGTCTCTTAAGGTGCTACCGGATTCAAATCCAGCTCTTCTCTTGCAAACTGACATGGCTACCGTCTGAAACTATCTCCAGGTTATCATCGCATTCCAAACAAAGGGATCCAGTTTATGATGAAGTATCGTTGCTGTCATTCTGGACCCGCATGCTGCTTAATAGGGTTTGCATGGCTTTGGGTGGCTGCTCAACTTTTGGGGAGGAGGAGGAGAAGGAAGAAGATTGGATTTGTACCCTGCCCTTCACTACCTGAAGGAGTCTCAGAGTGGCTTACGATCTCCTTTCCCTTCCCCTCCCCACAACAGACGCCCTGTGAGGCAGGTGGGGCTGAGAGAGCTCTCTGAGAACTGCCCTTGAGAGAACAGCACTGAGAGAACTTGTGACTGACCCAAAGTCACACCAGCAGCTGCATGTGGAGGAGTGGGGAAATCAAACTCAGTTCTCCCAGATTAGAGTCCGCACACTTCACCACTACACCGAACTGGGCTCAGAAGAGGATGAGGAGGAGGAGATTGGATTTATGCCCCGCCCTTCACTACCCAAAGGTGTCTCAGAGCGGCTTACAAACTCCTTTCCCTTCCCCTCCCCACAACAGACACCCCGTGATGTAGGTGGGGCTGAGAGAGCTCTCTGAGAACTCCCCTTGAGAGAACAGTGCTGAGAGAACTTGTGACTGACCCAAAGTCACAGCAGCAGCTGCATGTGGAGGAGTGGGGAATCAAACTCAGTTCTTCCAGATTAGAGTCCGCGCTCCTTAACCACGACACCAAACTGGCTCTCTCCTGCTCCAGAGGGCAAGACTAGACCTAATGGAGATAAGAAGAGGGGTGGTCAGTGGAAACTAGCCATCTGGACCATAACAGGCCCCATTTGCTGTGCTGTGTGAGTTGTCATCGGACCCTGAAGGATGCGTTTTATCCCGGCAAACCCCTGATGCGTTGTTTGCTCTCCCTGCTTAACTTTCACGGCACGGTTTTCTCGCACTGCCGTTTCCCTTGTACCAGCTTGTTTGTTTGAACAATAAATCATTGTGTTGGCTTGACTTCCTTGGCGTTGGTAATCCCTTCTGGGGCCCGGCTACGGCTCAGATACGTCCCCGGGAGGCCTGGAAAAAATGCATGTCGTTTTTTAAAAGACTCTGGTGCGAGGCCTTTCCGGAAAGGTCTAGAAAGAGCTGCCGAGCGAGAGATGCCACGTGGCACTGAAAGACTCGGCCCGTGACCTTTTGCCGTTACCGTCCCTCCGTGCAAACCAAGTTCCTGTACAGTCTGAAGTGCCAAGCAAGGACGCCACCCATCGCTGGCAATTTCTTCTCAAGTTACGTGAGCCAGTGTTCCCTCTAAGCTGAGTTCGTGTGAGCGAGCTCACAGATTTTTAGCCTCCGGCTCGCACATTTTTTGGCTTCGCTCTGGAAGGAAGGTGCCAGAGCAGTGTTCCCTCTAAGATGGGTTAGTGTGAGCGAGCTCACAGGTTTTTAGCCTCCGGCTCGCACATTTTTTTGCCTTCGCTCAGGAAGGAAGGTGCCGGAGTAGTGTTCCCTCTAAGATGGGTTAGTGTGAGCCAGCTCATCGTTTTTTAGCCTCTGGCTCACACGTTTTTGTCTCCGCTCGGGGAGGATGGCTCCAGAGCAAACGGATCGATGCAGGAGCCAAATCGCTCGCTCACAACTTTCATGCCAGTAGCTCAGAGAGTAGAATTTTTGCTCACAGGACTCCACAGCTTAGAGGGAGCCTTGCTCCAGAGCAAACTCATTGATGCAGCTGCCAAATCGCTCGCTCACCACTTTAATGCCAGGAGCTCACCAAGTTGAATTCCTGCTCACAAAACTCTGGCGTTTAGAGGGAACATTGTATAATGTGACCCTCCTTGAATGAGGCCCGCTGCGAAAAGTGCCCCCTGGGTGCCGCGTGGGTTAATGCAGAGGGGGACACACACACTCCTCCTTCCACAATCCTGCAATTCTTGTTTGCATTAAGTGGGTGTTGTGAACCCTTGTGTTGTTTTTC